ATATCTTCACATTATAAATAAAATGTATATAATATTATTGTATACGTAATTCCAATGCATAAAATTCCACAAATAATAATTTTTCATAAGCACAAGTTCTTGAGGTTTATTAAGAAAGCTGGTTTCTTTTTCTAATTTCTTAGGTTCGATAGTTCTTTTTCTAATGAGGTTTTGATTCAAAATAATTAAATAATAATATTTATTTATATCCTTTTTACATTACTTTTTTATACATTTTAAAAAGCTGAATTTTATTATTTTTAAAAATTATTGGGGTGATAAAATTATAAAATATATATATATATAAATTTAAGTGTTATATATGTAAATATATAGAATTTGGGTGGTACTTATGTAATAAACCTCAAAGCCGGAATCTCACTTCTCATCATTATAAATTGCTTAGGAAAAATGGGCTGTGCGAATGTGAAGAACCTAGACTGAGTTCAATAAAAATAATTAGTTTTTTTAATTATATTAGAACAACTTAATTATGGTGAATCTAAAGATGTCGGAAAACACATCCAAGAAATGAAATGTTATGTTAGGAAGTGATTAGAAGAGAGAGAGGGAATGGTAATAGACATAAAAAAGAGAGTGTCTTATTCATGATATAAACCCGTGTTTATAGACTTATATCTCAAAATTAAAAAAATGCTTATTAACACCCTCATTATCAACTTTTTAGGATGTTTTTTGTTAATTGCAAAGTTATTTGAATATAATAAGACCTGGGGCCGTTTAGCTCGATGAGGGTTGTAGATCGCTGGAGAAACATTGATTTGATCGGTATATAGTCCGAGAGAGTGCTCCCCATCAATCGTCCTAAAGGCTAATTACCGTCTTGCACGAGTTTCTCCTGGCACCTCTTGTCGATCATTCAGACAAGGTGTCTCCTTCGCCAATATTCCCTCGAAAGTCGAAAACAATCATTGAAGGCTATGCTCAATAGTCCAGCATTCATTTGCTTTGAGATTTATGTTGATATATTTTTACATGTACAGATTAATTATATTTTTAGTTCATGAGAAGTTTAAATTAAATTATATTCAAGCAAACGAGTTTAAATCAAGCCGAACACAAATAGGTCATTCATGAGCTATTTCGAACACGAAGAAAATAATAATAATGATAAACGAGCCGGTCACTAACAATCATTGGGCTTGCTTAAGCTCGGCTCATTTACACCTCTAATTCGCAACATAAGAATATGTGAGCACAGTAGATTAAGGGTGTCTAAAATTGACCCAAAACACCAACTCGACCCAAAAAAATTTAGGTTCTGGTAACTTTCATGTTGGGCTTGAGTTAAATATCCTAACCCATTAAAAATTTTGGGTAGGGTTCAGGTAGATCTGTTAACCCAAAAATGGCCCGTAAACTCTAAATTGACTTGAAAATTAACCCGCCAACCTGAATTGATCCGAAATTAGCTCGAAATATCCTAACCTAACAACCCGTGTTTTGCTCGTTTGCTTAGCGAGCATAACACAAGTTGTTCATAAATAAAGAGTTATTCTGACAACCCTAATTACTCAACCGTATGATGTGAAGAGATGGGACGAGATTTAACTCTTATTATTTGTATTAAAACATCATTTAAATATAATTTAGTATTTTTTTATTCTATTTTTTAATTAATAATTTTAATTGATTATATATTTTTTGTAACCATGTATTAAATTTAATTTTTTTTAAAATACTACTGAGTATATATGAGAGAGAGAGAGAGAGAGACCCAAAATGAGCCGATACTAACGAACAAATTTTTGTTATTGTTCAACTCGTTTATATATCCAGCTTGTTAACTTAACGAAAGAATCAAACACGAGTTTCTTAACGAGCAAATCACAAACTGTTCGTGAACAACGAGCCATTTTGACAGCCCTAAAAACTGTTCGTGAACAACGAGCCATTTTGACAACCCTAATTGTTCCTGGGCTATTGCTATGTGCATTGAATTATATATAGTTTTTGCTAACTTTTATTTAAAAAAAATAGAGGCATTTACATACAAACCTCACAATTCCTACATATTTACATATCTAACTCCTAAACATTCATTTACACTCAATAACACTTAAATCCTTAATATCACATCAAAAATATCACTTTCACTACGGTTTTAAAATTAAAATACAAATTTGCATAAATATATTTATGACACCAAGATGTAACAAAAATCAAACTTTAGATGTTAGATATGCAAATACACATAGGAATCGTGTGGTATACAGGTACCCATATACCATATGTAAAAACCATCTGTCACAGCATTAATTAATTAGATGGAATTTAGGCAGCCCCCCACGCAAAATGCGAGGGAGTATTCAATAAAAAGTTCTTCAGCGCGTAGCTACCCCAAACATGCAATGGAGGTAGGCAAGCTCATGGGCTGCCGGCTGCCGCCGTCGCCAAGGACTCGGGAAAACATTTTCTCTCTCTTCTTGCATTGCTCAAATCACCCACAAAAGATGTATAAAGATAGGCTCCCTTATTTAACAATATATATATAGATATATATATGTAACACGTGGTGGTGATTTGAAAAGCCACCAGTAGAAATTTAGACGTGTTGGACTGAAGTGATTCCTCAGTTTAATGGACTTTTCGGTCAACATAGAAGCCTTCTAGAAAACCTAGGGAGTTCTCAGTCTCAGATAATGTCACTGATATAGACAACGAATTAGTTAAATTAAAGCTAAGCGAAGATGATTCAATAAGTAGAATGGCAAAATGAGTCAGAATGAATTTCAAGGAGATCTTACCAACTAAGAGGCAGAAAAGTACAACCACGAGGGGGCACAGAGAGAATGCCCAAAATCTTATTAGTGGAAGGAATTAATTGAACAATTGTAGTTCCTTTAGATCGGGACCTGAAACTGACCAAATGCAGACTGTTCGAACCAAAGACTAAGATAGGATGATAGATGGCTTCAACCCAACTCTAGCACCAGCACTCTTAGCCATCTCATAAGGTGTCATGGCACCCACGTACCACTTAACTGGTGCCAAGGCACCAGTTTAATTGTGCCAAGGTGCCACCACCTCTCGTATCTTGGAGCTTGGGGCTTGGATTGTAAGGTGTTTTTTTTTTTTAAACTCATTTAGAGCAGCAAGATTAGGAGAACAAAATAATGAAAATGGTTTTAGATAAAGTGAGCCTCATATCAAGAAATTGATGTTAAAATGTGGTCCCAGTCTAGGAGAGAGAAAATTGAGATTTTTGATAAATTTTCAGATGATCATAAAATGGTGGATTTTGATGTTCTCAACTTAATTTGATCATATTTTGAGTTTGGAGTTGATTTGAGTTCATTTCGACGGTAAAATCCTAAAAATTGTCCAAATTTTTTTACTTTTTGTCCAAATTATCGCAGGTTAGATGAGCCCTCAAAACGGAGTCCGATTTGGGTGCAAAGTGGCTCATTTGATTTTGACGATCCAGACACATTCTTGAAGTCTATTTTGCAAAATGACACTCTGAAGAAAATTTTTTATGTGGGATGAATTTTCATGCACGAAAGCTCACCAAGTAAAATTCCACATTAAAAGTTCTCCGATAATCGTCGAAATTTATTTCATGCTACTCATACGTTGATAATGAAATACAAGTTCACTCATAACATGAAATTTCATTCACTACAATGACTTGTGGAGAAAACAATAATTTCATATCATAAAAATGATAATTTCATAATATTCTCTCACCAAGCTACATTTTGGTTCAATTTTTAGATCTGATTAAAGTTAATTATATTCAATTTTCACTTTGCAGTTTTTAATTCAGGTATATTTTAAATATTTGAGGTGAATGATGAGTTGACAAAAAAGTGAGGTTAATATATGATTCATTAGTAATTGAGAACTCCTTCAAATTCTTAGGAAAATGTTAAGTTGGTTGGTATTGAAGTACACATAGAGCTTTTAAGGCATGATGGACTTAAGCCTTTCTTAAACATTTCGTTCGTGATAGAAAGATTGATAGTAGGTGTATCTTCATAAAAAAATACTCAAATATTTAATAACATGGTGATGAAGGCTAAAGAACAAAATCAATAGTGAAGTAAGTGATTAAGAAAATACTAAGAGCAACATAGAGGCTTTGGAGTTCATAGTCACTAATGACTCAACACCATAAAAGTGGTTCAACTTCTTAAATTGGTGATTTCTTATTGGAGACTATATGAATGAGTCCATCTAGAGTAGCATGGGTATTATACTTCACTTCTGGGTGTTTGAGAAAAATTAGTGGTTGTTAATGTGGAGAAGGAAATGGGATCATTAGTTATGAGTTGTACAAGTGGATTGACATCTAAATGAAATGATCATTATGCCCATCATACTATTGAATATATTGTTAAATAATTTAGAATTAACCATCCACGATTCGTTCCAATATATTGTGATAAACAAGTTGCTATTCACATCACTAAAAATCCTATTTTTGTAAAATGGATCAAAAATATAAAAATTCATTCTTAATTTGCTTGGAAAAAAAAAAGGTTGGTCATCATGCTCCTTCCTACCTAATATCAAGTGTAGCTGTCTGATTCAAATTCCATACAACTTGAGAGAGAATAAATCTAGAGTCCATAAAAATCAGATGCTTTAAGATTAGTTATTATAACTGAGTTATTAATATTTTTATTTTCTTTTTTATTATTATATTTTAAATTTAAATACATCCATCATATATCAGTCCATACAAACACAGCAATCAAATCAATGAAATAAAACACATACTTTGCCATTACATCAAATATTTAAATAAAATTTTCCGTTTGCAAGAAAATTTGAGTGCAAAAATTTAAATTTAATGTAGAAAATCCATTATCATTATTTCAATAACAGTTTATTAATTTTATAACTAAAATACGTAATACATAAAATATATCTACTTCATGACATGCGCATGCGCTTGGCCAGAAAAAAGACTAGTTAATTAATACATGAGCTCTATAAATATGACTGCAAAAGCCCTCTTTTCCATTAAACCGACAAAAATTCAATTGAGAAGCTCACCACGTAATCCTAAATCTTCTTTAGCAATTTCTTATCATGGAAACCCTACAGTACTTCTCCGTCCTCCTCCCTCTCATCACCTCCATCTTCCTCGCCCTCATCATGATCAAAACCCTAAAATCCCAAATAACCAAACGTAAATCTCACAATAACCTCCCTCCAGGCCCCCGCAAATTCCCCATCATCGGCAACCTACACAACCTGGGAGGCGAACATCCTCACCGCCGCCTTGCCACCCTCTCCAAAACCTACGGCCCCATCTTCTACCTAAAGCTCGGGGAAATAGACTCCGTAGTCATCACCTCCCCAACCCTCGCCGCAGAGACCATGAAAACCCACGACCTCAACCTTGCCTCCCGGTCTCAGTTCCTGGCCACCAAAATCATTCTCTATAACGGCGGCGATCTGGTTTTCGCTCCTCACGGAAAGCTCTGGGCTCAGCTTCGTAAGATATGCACGGTTGAGCTCTTCAGCGGCAAACGCGTGAAGTCATTTGTGTCCATAATGGAAGACGTGGGTCATAATATGGTGGAGAAGATTCGCAAGGGAACGCCGGCCGGAGCGGCGGTGAATATTTCCGAGCTGCTGTTGGCGGTGGCGAATACGACGGTTTCGAGGACAGCATTTGGGAGGGATTGCGAGCAGAGCGACAGGCTTTTTACGGCGGTGTTGAAGTCGTTTAAGTATATGTCTGGGTTTGATTTGGCTGATCTGTATCCGTCGTTGAGTTTTCTGATCGCGGGGATAACTGGATTGAGGCAAAGGTCGGAGAAAGTGCGCGGGGATTTTGACGTGATTTTGAATGAGATATTGGAGGCGCATTTGGAGAAGGCTAAGGGTGAAGAAGATGATGCGGAGGAGGATCTTGTGGACGTGATGCTCAGATTGAAGAAGAGTGGGGAGCTGGAGGACTTCATTACCATGGATAACATCAAGGCAGTCATAGTGGTATGTTCATCTTATTTATTTATTTCTACCTCTAAACATTATTAAAAAAATAGTCAAGTGCCACGGGAGCACTCAAAATTCATCATAGGCTTCATAATTAATATGAGTTTAACAAATTTTCATAATTTTATTTATTTAAAGTGACAAATCTTCCTCATTCGTACCATGGACGGCAATAGCTTATTATTATTATTAATATTATAAATTGAGAAAAAATAAAATTAAAAAAAAAAAAAAACTTAGCCCATGCAAAGTCAATTTATTTAAAGCTATCCGAAAGCTATTTCAAAATGATCAACAATTTTTTTCTTATTTATTTGTAAAATGGATAAAAATCGATCGCACGTACTATACAGTTGTCTTGACAAAGGCACCTAATATCTAACTTCGTCGACTGAAAATTAATATTTAGTGGATTAAGTTTATTCGACATCACACATATAATAATTAATTAAAATAAATATTGTAGTTTAGATTTTGTCTTATGTGGTTCATAGTAGCTCGGGTAAGAGTTCAAAAGCTTCTGCTATTTATAAAACCAATCATAATCATGGTGATATTTTTTGTTTACTTACACGAAGATATTTGATTTTTCAAAGAAGCTAGTCGTTATCGTAATGGCTGGCAAAATGGAGTCAAAATTGGCGAGCATATGCTGTTATAAATAAAAACAAGTAGGCACTCAGCAAACCTCTAGCTTCTATTGGCAGTAACAAATGACTTGACCCTTAGATACCCCACAGACAAATCTCCATCATTCGATATAAATCTTGAGGCCTGACAAAGATCTCAAAGCAATCTTTTGAACAATAAATGTTTAAACTTTGATTAAAAGTCATCCAGCACTATGATTTCAATGAGCTTATAGTCAAACTGATAGACTCGGCGAGATGGATATAATGGTACTAACATTGTTCCGGTCTGAACGAAATCAAGCCCCAAACAAGCTATTGAATCACTTTTGATAGCTTTTTGGACAGAATTGGAATGTCAAACCGACGTAGAAACTGAAGAGTTTATAATCGAAGAGTGTTTCAACCACATGAATCCAACGAGCTCATGCTTGCTCAATTGCAACATCATTAAGACATTCAAATATCCATCAAACGTCATTTCATCGAAGAAAACTTTTAAACATTCCGATCAAAGTGGCTCATATTATTGCATTAATTGCACTCAGAACAATATAAATATTAGATTTAATGTAAAATTGACATAGGAGAAATCAAATATAAGATTTTGGGAGATTTAATGGAGTGGCTCAATTAGCCAATGAACAAAGTTTCATCATGCTCAAAATTGGGCTTACATAATATATCAACAGTAATGTGAGCTTAAACTCAAGTTCACACTTCTATTAGCTTGTTTTGTGTGCTCGTCAACAAACCGATCTCCTACAAGCTTGTGAGATAGCTTATTTATGACTTGCATCCTTGATTGTGGTACTCATATTCTATCCCACCTTAACTTCATCATCTCAATTGCATATTAGAAAATTCTCAACGACATAAAAATATTATGCCTTAGCTTATTATATTTTTTCCAGCACACCAAAAAAAAAAAAAAAAAAAAAAAAACCAAATTTTTCAATTTTTTATGCTAAAAAAACCAAAGAAATGAAAAAAAACTATAGGACTCAACACAGTCCAAATAATCCACTGAAAAATTCAATATATAGAGATCCTCTTTTCTCTAAAATTGAGAGTTTTTTATGCTAAGAAAACCAAAGAAATGAAAAAAAAAACTATAGGACTTAACAAAGTCAAAATAATCCACTGAAAAATTTAATATATAGAGATCCTCTTTTCTCTAAAATTGAGAGTAGGATTACAAAAATCAATAATCACGACAATATATTAATAATTTGACTACTATATAGCTATAGTTGGCTACAACAACAACAATTAGTGTTTATATCAGTTGTAGTACACTATAGATGTCATAGTTGATGGTTATAATAAATGTAGTCGAACTATAGCAATTATAGTTGGTGGCTATAACATATATAAATATATCGTTGACAAGAGTAATTGTTGATGGTAGTCTATAATGGTTGTTGGTCATTCCTTGCACTTCTTTTCAAGGGTTATTTTTCAATTATCTGTTCGTTGCTCTCTTCTTTTATTTTCTTATTTGAAAACGAGGGTTTATTTTTAGTTTTTTGAAGGGGTATTCTATTAAATTTGGCAGCCTCAAAAAACATTCTATTAGAAAGTTTGTGTTAATTCATCTAATCATGGGTCATTTTTTCAACATTTAAGTATCTTAATGACCTTTAAATTAAATGATCTTGGACTCATCAGTTCTCTCTCATCAATCTGCTCGATTCGATTGGATGCTGACAAAATTTAATAATTATTTAGCATTCCAATTAATGCTCAAAGGCTTCCAATTACACTTTTAATTCTTGATTTGAGTATATTAGGACTCGGACTGTAACACATATTGTCATTAGGCTCTCGTATTATCAAGATGCTCAGTCTAAATATTAGTTTCTTGAAATATATAGCTTGAATGATATTAAATTTGAATATGAAATATTTATTATCTAACATGCACTGATATTTGTGCATGATCATACAAATTTCTTGGTGATCACATGATTCACATATCATTCTTTTTTACATGTCACTTGAATATATTTAAATGATGGTCCGCTGCTTACGTTTCAACTTATCTTGGTCTGTCAATTTTCTAAGCAAACATGTCATGCCGAATTAAATGGGTGCTCCATAAGTTCAGTTTTGCCGAATTATTATAAGGCTGTTTTGAATTTTCATGAAAACAAGTAAAAAAGAAATTTCATGTGAAGACACTTTATTTCACATAAGCTTCAACAAAATATTTTGAGAACCATTTATAATCTAAATAAAAAATTGATTAT